AAAAGAAAGTGTATTATTTCGAAGTATGTGTGAGGACACGTAAAATGCAAACTTTCCGATTAACGTTAATTAACGTTACAATGTGAATCCAATTACTCGAATCGCTGGTAACCGTAACGCAAAGGATTGCCATTTCTTTACCCTGAGTAATAACAGCAACTTGAATAATGAGGGCAATTTTTACATGTAAAATTTCCCATTGAATCTCCTGACAAATACGGGACGCGCGAAACAACCCTGAGCTACGTGAAAACCGACTGGAGATGATGAAACGAGAATGCGGTATATTTCGTGCGCGAACGCAGCTTTCGATCGCGAGGAGAAGGATACGTTGGGGAAGGCAACACGTTTGGTTGTCAAAAATTTCTCGTCGACGCTAATTCGGCGCGTCGGTCGGCACACACCCGGAGGGTTGTAAGGGAGATTTACGAGCGCGCGCGATCGACGAAGAGGGGGCTCACGGTCGATTGACTTTCGAAAATGGGCCTGGCGCGAGAATCGCGAGCCATTTCTCGCGTATATCTACGCGCGCCCGTCATGAATGGGCCCTTCCTCATTCGAGAGAGAGAGAGAAAATCTACTCCACACGCGCGCGCACATGCACGCACAAGCCCACGTGCACGTGTAAATATTTCTATAATCCTAACATAGTAATAAACGTATTTTTTTTAAATAAGTCGTCACTTGTTCCACTTTTCTATTAGATTCTGGGCACGATAGAAGAAATATTCCGAATAAATATTAAATATGACAAGAGAGAAGAAAGAAGTAAATTAAGTACAACGCGCAATGAAAGAGAAGAAAATATAAAATTGTGTAAGAGTCGTAATCCAAAATATTTGTTCTGAACTTATGAATTTAAACAATGTAGATTTTTAGCGGTTATTTCTAATATTTCCCCTATTGTGATAGAAATGCGCGTTGCAGGCCCGTCGAGCCGCGTAAAACGGACGTAAGGAACGCGGTGAGACTCTCGCTCGGCTGGGAGGAATCCGCCGATAATACCGCGCGGGGCTCGCAAATCGGCGGGCAAAAAGCGGAGCAAGTGAATTAAAGAAACAAATGGAGTCTGAAAAGGAGGGCGAGCGCCGCGCCGGCCAGGAGGGGGGTTGGCGAGTAAATTGTTAAACGCGCTTCTCGAATGCCGGCTCTTAACGAGCGATAATAACTCGCGCAAATAACTGGCGCGTCTTTAGAGGGCTAGTTTCTGCTTTCTCTCCCTCGCCTCTGTCGCTCTCTCGCGTCGTCCGCCCGGCCATTGTGCGCGCGAGTACGAGAACACCGGGGAATTACAGTTAGCTCGCTCTCTCCGCGAGCTCTGGAGGGGTGTGCGTGTGTGCACGCTCGTATTAGAGCAGGGACAACGGTAGGGGCGCGCGATACTTACACCTTTAGGCAACGGGTATTAACCGCGCGCGCGACCAAGGGGTGCGCTCGAGTGGGCATTCGGAGCCCAGAGGACGTGTTTTGATATTGTAACGTTTGTATTAAATATCAAGTCGGAAGGGTGCCGCGCCTGCCTGGGCCCCGGCACCGTTTATTAGGACTTCATTAGCCGTCCCTTGATCCCTTCTCGCTTTCTGGCCCCAGCACCCTTTTCCGCGATGCATCATCGATGGCGCGTGGAATTTTTCCGGAGCGTTTTCCCTACCCTCTCAGAAAGGACTTCTCGTAACAAGACGAGATACATTCTTCGCGTATTTAAACCTGTTACAACCTCGTGTGGTACAAAATAAAACAATATTAAGATTAAATCAATAATTCTCCTCTCTCGAATTAAATAAAGCTAATCTACTATATTGAGATAAAGAATAAATCTTCTCTCGATATGTTATACACACACACACACGCGCCAATTAAGATTAAAATATTTCTTTCTGAATAATAAATATGGTTGTCGCTGTATCGATCCTATTTTGCGATAGATCGAGGTGTAACAGCGTCGAATCCGGAAATCTTTTCTGCGAGTGTACAGATCTCTGAAGGGACGCGTTATTAAATCGTACATGTCCGGTGCCTACTAATTTGCTACAATGTTTTTTGCTACTACAACGCGCAAACATAATTAAAACCAGCGGCGCGCGGAAGAAAGTAATACAGAAAAATGTTTGTACGTTACGAGATAAGTGATAATTTTCATAAGCCACTTTTTTCCCTCGGCGCTTTTAAAATATCAAATTAGATTTTTACATAAGAAAGCACGCAAAAGCACGTGGAAAATTGCAGCGACATTAACCCTG